ATTGACCTTTTTTCTTTTCTTTTTTTTCGGACCATGCATCTCTTTCATTTACGGTTTATGTGTTACACAAAGGAAAATAACTCTCATATGGAGTTTCCGGATTGCATTGTGTAAAATCATTTTCGACTTCCTAAGGATGTAATGGGCAATTTGGAAAATAATTTTGTCTGTATCTTTATCAATTGCCAAGGAGTAGGGCTCAAAAGAAAATCAGTGTTTGGAGAGATAACTCTTTTAAGGAAAAAGTTCGGTTAAGTGTCGTCAGTTCCAAAAGCGCATAAACTGTCCGATATTATATACCAAATATCTAAGCCACATGTTGCGAAACAACAAAACAGCGCAAGAAAATAATTTAGTGGTAAAAAAATTGAAAACAAGTTGTTCAGAATAGCTAAAGGGCTTTCCACCAAATCAAATTCACTTCGGATAAGAAAATTTGGACGAAAATAAGTAGCTCTTGTGTTAAAAGATGTCTAATCGCACACTGATTCCAAAAATACATACTATTGGTGGCAAGTGCCAGTTTTGGTGTACCAGAACATGTGTCCCACGCAGAAATTTTGTAAAAGCTATGTAATGAAAGATATAATTGCATCATGTGGACTGAAAAAACATATGAATGTAAATTCTAGGCTATTGTACTAAATTAGTAAGGAGTTGCATACATCGGTTGGGGATTTCCTTCACATATGGGACCAATCGGAAGTCCAAATTGGGGTCTCCTCTCTTGATTTCATTTTGATGGTTGTGATAGATGCGGACAAGGCTCTAACTCATTGAATATCATGTATTCCTTGAAATTTGCCTGAAATTCTTGCCTGACATTAGCAGGATTCTGATCGTGAAGATTAGATTTCTATATCAGGGCATCACATTCTTTGCCATATTTGCAACGCATTAATAAATTTTAAAATATCCATGCTGGACATACACCCAAATGTACAGGTTTTCTATATATTCACATCAGCACGCATACATCTTAGTTACTAAAAACCATAAATTTTATTTGCATTTTAGCCGAATGATTTTTCAGGAAAATTAAATCATAAATCCATGAAATTCTTATTTACAAGATTTATTGTAAAATAACTGGTTTCTGTCACCATTGCATGAAACAAGGGAGATAATAAGCCACTTCAGGTTAAGTAAAAGTCACCTGCAGTGGGCCACAGGCCACAATTAATTCCCCCTATTAGTTCTTCATAACGTTTTGTCGCATTAAAAAAAAATTACCTGTTTTTTTTGGTCAAATCTTTTGTGTGTGTAAGGTACAGTACAAGTCCAAAAATATATCCAAGTTTCAGAAAAATTGAACGTTTACATCTTACAAATTTAGCCAATACACATCCATACCCCTATGGACAAGTCAAGAGATGTTCCGAAAACTGTAAATAGTACCTTTTTGCACCTGGCCTAATCACTCTTTCCATATCAAAATCAGTTAAAATAAAACATCCAAAAATTTATTTCAGCTCTCCTCTTTCATTTCCACCTTATAAAAACTAAGAAATGTATGAGAAAAGGGAAGAAAAAAAAATAAAGACAAAATACACTTTAATTAAAGGGAACTATATTCGTCAACGAAAAGCGGGATCATAAATTGTGGTCTGGAGCCAGTGTCAAATATAAACTTACTCAACAGTGATACCAAAAATATGTGGCTTGGATGTACTTTTTCATGAAATAAGGTAAACAATTTGCTTCTTCCGGTTTAAAATGTCACTTTCGGTTCCATATGATAGTTTACTTCACACCGATTCCCAAAATATATGGTTCTAGGTACTTTTGAATTTAAATTTCAAGGTCATAAAGCAAGAACCTCAAATCAAAAGACCCTAGATCTCTACTGTGTATGGTTATTGAGTTATATAGTTTTATTTTCGAATTTATTCCAGAGAGAATACTCCCATAAAACGACAGCGTAACCTTTCAACCAAAATGATTTCAGTTACCACATGTCGCAACTAACAACCTAGTAAAACAAATATGTATATTGATTACTGTTTCTTTAAAGTAGAGATCACAAGGAAAATCAAAAATCAAAACATGACCTTGACCTTTAACCTTCACATTATTTTCTTTTTGGTGGACCCAAGACCTCAAATCAAAAGATCTTTCACTTACGGATTATCAGTTACTATTACAGTTCTCTTATATTGAATGTATAATGAGTAATTAATCTCATATGGAATTTCCAGATCTCTTCGATTAAAATTATGCTCGACATCCTGAGGATATAACGAGCAATTTGGGAAAATAATTTTGTCGGAATCTTTTACAGTTAGTATGGGAGTAGTGCGCATCAGAAAACAGTGTTTGAGGAGATAACTCTTACATAGTAAAGTTGTCGGTTAGGCTATTTCAGTTGCAAAAGCGTATACACTGTTCAATATCATGTACCAAATATCAAAGCGACATCTTGCGAAACAACTTTACAGCACAAGAAGAACAATGATAAGAACAAAACCAATAGGTCCTAATAATCAGAACACAATTAAAAGGTCTGTTCATTGAAAAGTTGAAAGACCTAATAAAACAATACAATTTCATTGAATGATTGCATTTACTGAAAGCAAGCTCAGTGGGCCTATTTTGATGATAAGAAACTACGTCGTCGTACACTTTAATATCGGTGGATGTAGTTCAAATTTCATACATCGACGTGATAAACAACATAACGACAACATCTTACACAATGCATAGAACACTGAATATAATGTACTGACTTCAATTATATATTAATCGATAATCATAGAAATGATTTAAAAAGAAAAGAAAATTACTGTGAGTTTCCTCAATGCGTATAACGAATGCTTGGTTTTCTCAACTTCTCAATAGGCTTTATGGCACGAAAATTTTTTTCACATGAAGAAATATATTTTGCAATGATCATACGCTGGTATACTCATATATGTTCTAGTGGCCATGGCTTTTTTCTGTAAACACAATGTCAAAAGAATTCTATCTTAAAAACTAAATTGAATCATAACACCGTTTTAAAAAAATACTGTGCTGTAATAGATTTTTTCTGATAAAAATTCGAAATACTTATTTTGCAATATTTCTAGTCATTTTTCATCGCAAATATGAAAGCTTTTTAATTCCTTTATTTTGAAATACGAATAATAGTAGGTGAATAATTTTAATGAGACAGTAGTTTAACGACACAAAACAAATCTAGAGAAAATGTTTTCAACAACGACCGGTGCCTACAATATGTCGAGCTAAAGATAGAGGGTGTTAACTGTAAATGAATTTAATAAAGACTTTCTTCCATCAACGCCAAATACCCCAACATGCCAAAACGTTTAGACATAAGCACACGACAGTCGATGACGAAGTTCCTGGCTTTGAATAGGTATACAAACATGTCGTATGGATAAACCGCAAATCTCCTCAATGTGTCGGTGCCTACAATATGTCGAGCTAAAGATAGAGTATGTTAACTGTAAATGAATTTCATAAAGACTTTCTTCCATCAACGCCAAATTCCCCAACATGACAAAACGTTAGGAAATAAACACACGACAGTAGCTGACGAAGTTCCTGGCTTTGGATAGGTATACAAACATGTCGTATGGATAAACCGCCAATCCCATCAATCTCACAGTTAAGTACAAGCAGAGCAGTAAGGTCATGTTAATTTTGTTCTATCACTAACCACTTCCATGGTTGAAAATATCTAATCCTTTTTTTTCCAATAAATTCCAATATTTTCATTATTTTTTTCTGCCCTAATAGTTATCAAAGGTACCAGGATTATAGTTTAATACGCCAGACGCGCGTTTCGTCTACATAAGACTCACCAGTGACGCTCTGATCAAAATAGTTATAAAGCCAAACAAGTACAAAGTTGAAGAGCATTGAGGACCCAAAATTCCAAAAAGTTGTGCCAAATACGCTAAGGTAATCTATGCCTGGGATGAGAAAATCCTTAGTTTTTCGAAAAATTCAAAGTTTTGAAAACAGGAAATTTATATATATATATGACCATATAATTGATATTCATGTCAACACCGAAGTGCTGACTACTGGGCTGGTGATAACCTCGGGGACGAAAAGTCAACCAGCAGTGGCATCGACCCAGTGGTGTAAATAGTTATCAAAGGTACCAGGATTATAATTTAATACGCCAGACGCGCGTTTCGTCTACATAAGACTCATCAGTGACGCTCTGATCAAAATAGTTATAAAGCCAAACAAGTACAAAGTTGAAGAGCATTGAGGACCCAAAATTCCAAAAAGTTGTGCCAAATACGCTAAGGTAATCTATGCCTGGATTGCTTAATGTTGTCTTCCTGTATTGTTTATGACGTCGATGTATGATATCTGAGGAACATCCACCGAGATCAGTGTAGAACGCCATAGTTTCATAATATCATGTTAGGAATTTTGAGCTTGCTTTCAGGAATTGCTGGCGTTCTATGAAATTGTCTGTATTTTAAAATATCGTCTGCTTGAACTTAAGTGTTTTTAGTATTCTATAAGCCGTTATCCTAGTGTTAAGTGCTTATCTTTAAGTGACTCTCATTTTCACAGAGGAAGGCCTTCAGCACTTAACTTGTCGATAAAAAAATAAAAATAACACTAAATCAATTTCTAGATTTACCTTCATCAAGTACGCTCAAAGACTTAAAATAGGCCTTTTCAATGCAACAAAGAAGTAAAATTACCATAATAATATAATATACAAAAGAGTAAAAATTTCCCTTATGAATTGCAAATATACGGTTCATATAAAGCTATTTGTGTACTATATTTTGTCCACACGACATTTAATAAATGTAATCACATTGTAAATAAAAATATATTAATAAGCAAATCTAGATATTCTGTTTTCTACAAAAGACCGATGCCTACAATATGTCTGAGTATGTTAACTGTGAATGAATTTAACAAAGACTATCTTCTATAAACGCCGAATTCACCTACATGCCAATATGTTAAACAGACTCATATAAAAGTTACAAACATCTATTGCGTCTCATTTTCTTTTATAGATTTTACAAAAACAGTATGTGTGGCTGCAAGAATTCAAGCAAATGGAACTTATCGCCTGGAGTCACATTTCTGTAATGAAAGTCTGGAAGCCTTATGTCACAAACCTGATCGTACTAATTATGGGTCTTCCGATGCTGGTATTGTGATAATTTCATAGACATTATTTGCTTCGTTTTAAAATGTTTTAACAGCATTGTTATTCCGTTATAATAACATGGACTTTTTTTAAACAATGCCAGGTTTTTTTAAATGAACATCCAGTTTTCACATTTTTAATGTTTTTAAGCCGAGAGGCTTTTTATTTTAAATGATTGTTTATCAATCAATAAATAGTCTTTAACCAAATACATAAACTATTGCTAGTATAAACCTTGAAACAGATTTCAATGCGTACAATACGTGTTTCTGGAATAACCCTAATTAGGTACACTCAAGACTGAAAGTCTTGAAAAAAAAATGCATACAAACACACGTAAGAATCATAAAAAGATTAGAAAAAATAGTAAGATGTATTGTTATATCTTTCTTTAAAAATTCAGCAAGTTGAAATTGCTGATTACCGGGAAATATTTATTCGTATTAGATAAGATATGTTACAGGCTTTGAAGCTTTGTGGACTGTTCTGGTTATAACAAGATTTATAGAATTAATAAATCGACAAGGACCACACTTCTTGCAAAAACTGTTTTGCATCTTGTAGTCTTGTTTGTATTTGAAGTATCCTGATAAAAATCGTTACCTGTTTTTTATTTACCAACCCTTATTAATTTTATGTTTATTTACAATATCTTTGCAGAACTAACCTATTGTATTTAAAATTGTATAAAAAAAATCGTCCTTAATATGCATGAACATTTGCCATTTCTGCTGATAGGTTTTAAAATTGTTAACATCAATTCTACCTCCTCGTTTACTTGCGAATAGAACGAAACTTACTCCGCCATACGACGCCGTACTTACATCTATAATTTGAACTATTTTATATGTTTTCCAAACCAAAACAAATTTTTTATCATTTTTTTTTCATTTTAGACGGTTTGTCAGTACAAACTTTAAAGTTAGGATTCGAGAAAACCTTAACAAACTTACTTCATGACACGTGTTGTTGTGCTATTCAAAGTTTTGCGCAGATCAAATACTTTCGTAGATTCCTGTCTTGTGACAGTCACATGACCATGTAGCGGGGTTAAACCATTTATTTTATATCTCAATGGTACATAAAGTAACATGAATTAACAATCCATAAAGAAAAAGCATGTAACTATGAAACAAAGAAAAAAATAGATCATAAAAAATAAAAAATAATCACATCAATAATTATAAATGGAGTATGCATTAATTTTTTTGGATAGTTGTCTAAAACCACATCTCCTTATCTTTATATCAAAGAATGACTGAATTCAAACTCAACGTTGTTAACTTGCTGATATGATTTCATGTCGTCCTACACTCTAATATCGGTTGATGTATTTCACATTAGATTAAAAAGAGCAACGTCATATTTAATGAAGAATGAAATTATCTTTGTAATTTAAAGCACAAATTTGTACTGAATATTAATGCAAAAAACAGAAACAAATAGAACATTTCAGTCTTGCTTCAAACAAAATCAACAAAACAAATTAATGACAATCAATTAACGATTATAATTAAAATGACTGTTCTAACTTATTCTCTGTAGCAGTCGTGCACCTTGGAATTACTCCGTGTCTGCAGTAAAAGCCTTTCTAAATAGGGGCGTCCTATTGGTTGTACGGGATGAATAACGGCTGTTTGAAATCCAATGCCTAATGTAGGGAGTATGTCCCAATTTTTGCACATTAAAGAAACATTGCAACAACTATATGCGGGGTCTGTAGGTGGCCTGTTGCAAGGCAACATTTTAGCCCCAATTTAACATATCCTCGTTTTCCAGTGACAGTCCAAATTTTCCGCCCTTCAAGCCGGTTCACCTACCTTGCAGAACCTACCTATTATATTACTTTGTTCTCGTCCTGAATAAGCATGGAATATTTGCCACTGGACGTTGAGCAAGCAACAGTCATCCGTCATCCAAACAATCGTTCGTTCGTTCGTTCCAGATGACTGACTTTTCACGGAATTTCGGCCTTGTACTTAGAAAATTTCATGAATATTATACATTTTTTTTTGGTACTTTTCCGGCCTTGAGTTCCACCTTCTGATTATACGGAACATATAATTACCTTTTTTACACAAAATTTGCTTAAAGTTGGTCACTCGTTATCGATCTACCTTCACTTATACCTTTTTTTTTATATAACGAAAGCCAATTATGTTCGATAATTCATGAGTTGGCTAAGATGTTGTCGTTTTGGTTTGATTTGGTTTTGGTTTTGGTTTTAGTTTTAGTTTTGATTTTTGTTTTGTTTTGTTTTGTTTTGTTTTGTTTTGTTTTGTTTTTGTTTTTGTTTTTTTTTGTAAAGTAAGTGAGGTCAAATAAAGGTCACTTCCAATCACATTACACTTAGGTATCACTTCTGGTTGAACTCCGTGCTCAATGATCCAAAATATAAATCCTAAACTAACGGTGCATACGAAATACCTTGAATGAAATTTCATTATGACGTTCATTGTGAGAAGATGTGGTATATACACTCAACTTTTTCTCAGCGGTTGCAAAGCACCATCAGGATAGTATAGTAAATAGTCTTTGATGTTCTATGACAATGTCATAAAACTATGACAATATAATTTACACTGTTCAAGCATCACCGCACGTCAAACTTTGTACAACAGAAAAACTGATAGGACATAATTGACAATTTGTCACGCCCTCATGAATGGGCGTCCTATCAACGACCTTCAGAAAGCTTTCTTTGAAATTCTTTCACATACAAGTAACTGTATTTTCTAAACAAAACAAAAATATTAATTCAATTTATTTTGCATAGAACATGTAATGAAGCCACGGATTCTTAAACTTAAAAAATGGTTCACTAACGGTTGATAAAATGTTGTAAGTCTGAATATTAATATACAAATTATGTCCAGTACGCGTTTTAAAACGGGCTCAATTCGGACTATTTTGAGATGTTTCAGTGATGTACTTGTTTTGTCTGTACAATATAATTGAGAATGGAAATCGGGAATATGTCAAAGAGACAACAACCCGACCAAAGAGCAGACAACAGCCGAAGGCCACCAATGTGTCTTCAACGCAGCAAGAAAATCCCGCACCCGCAGGTGGTCCTCAGCTGACCCCTAAATAAAATTGTGTACTAGTTCAGTGAAAATGGACGTCACACTAAACTCCAAAACATATAAATGAACTAAATTTAAAAAACATACAAGACTAACAAAGGCCAGAGGCTCCTGACTTGGGACAGGCACAAAAATGCGGCGGGGTTAAACATGTTTTGTGAGATCTCAACCCTCCCCCTATACCTCTTAGCAATGTTGAATAAAGAAAAACATAGTAATACGCATAGTAAAACTCAGTTTAAAAGAAGTCCGAGTCCGATGTCAGAATAGGTAACAAAAGAAACAGAATTTTAGAGATCAATTTGACTTTTAATTAGTTGGATATGATGTGTTGGGTTTTCTTCTTTTTTCAAAAAATTTATATCATTATTCTCTGATATTTCCCATTATCTTCTGAAATTTTGTTTTGAAGATGAATGCTTTAACATATTTTTATCAAACATTTAAAATTTCACTCTTGGTATTAAATACCATTGAAAGTACAACATCTAACAAAAGATTAACATTGCTAGAAGAAAATGAGTCACTCGTTCTCAGGTTGCGATTGAATATGTTTTGGTTGTCCGTTATTTGATTTTATGAGGTAAACAATAGAAACCCCTTAAATGTCTTCTCGTGACAAGAACGAAAAGTGGCGAAACTGAACTTCCAACGACGAGGGATGATTTCTGATCATATAATACTCTTGCAATGGATTTTTTGAATGCAATGTAAAACTTATCGATTTAGACATTTTTTATCCCGAATTACTTCTTATACATTATTTCATGATGCACCGACCCAGGGGGTAAAATGAAATATGGTAATGTTTCGTGATATATTTTGGTCATCATTTGTGACTTTCAACAAGTGGCATTCCCTGTTGATCATTTGAAACACTGCACAATATTCAATTTAACATATACGTTTATACAGTCATGAGCTTTAGAATGATCGAAAATGGAAGAAAACAAAAATGAATTGCAAAATGTTATGTATTTTATAAGGCTTAATCTAATCTAAATTCTGATTTATATCAAGTTGTGGTTTACTTAAGACTTAGAATAATTCTATTCAGAGTATAATTGAATTAATACTTGTAATTCGAAAAGCAAATTAAAATTTCAATTTCAGAATGTCAAAAACTACAGAGTTTTCAAGAACCAAAACTTCATTTATAATTTTAGCTAATGACCTAAAGAGGCTCACCATTTTACGTATAAATCGAAAAAAGTTGGAAATACAAATTAAGCAGGCTTCAAATTTAAAGTGTGTCTTTCAGATGAAGAACTGCAAAACAAGTACTGTTCCTTTGCCTTTAGTATTGCCAATTGCATGTAGATATTTTGTGTTGTTAATTAATTATTTATACACCATGTTCCTTCTTTTCCAGTCAATAATTATTCAGATTTGAGGAATAAGATACATGTAAATTGATGTTTGTTCGTTTTGTTTTACATCGAATATTCATGTGCTATGGGAGCAGTTCGGGCCATTTATTATTGATGAATTTAGCCAGTTAAACATACATATTTTCTTTCGATTCCAAAAAGAATGGACATGGGGTCTGTATTTTGATTAGGTTGTTTTACTGCTAAATAAAGTATTTCGTTCCAATCGAAATTGTCTTCAGAGAGAAAAACTAAGGTTTCGCTTGCTCGTACTTCTTTTTGTCGTACATAGAACAATTTTTTTTTAAATTAATCAAATTTCAAGATTTAAACAATTTCATAACTCCGGGCATAACAGAATTTTTTAACTTTCAAGTCGAAAGAAAAGAAAAAAAAGATTTCCAAGAAACTGAAAAAAAAAACTTTGACTGTGCTTTTTTTCAGCGCAAGCTATTTTGTACTTTCGGTCATTTTTCGAATTGTTGTTTTATTTTCAACAATAGAGAATTTAAGATTGAAACAG